CTACATAAGGAGCTTAAAATATCATCTTGTTGTGATGTTGGGTGCCAGAATCGACGTAATACAGCCTCAAATTAGAAATTTGATCGCATATCTGCTGCCACCGCCAGACAAAAAAACCGACGACAGCTGTGGTTAAACGAGATAAAACGAGCAGACTGGACAGAAACGATCGCCAAAAATGCTCGTGTTTGCTGCACACACTTCTTATCAGAAAAGGTTCAATAAAGTATTGTCTTTTGTTGTTATGGACATGTCTACAAATTTCCCTATACACGTTAGATGTGATCCACCTCATAGTAACAATCCTGTCAGATCGTCCATCCTTCGAGTGAGAGTGTAAGTTGAGTTTTCGTGGTTAAAGTTAACCTTTTCGACATGTTTCCTTGTTGTTGTTGCTCAGCAATGGCATGGACGCAATGTTGTCTGGGGGTTTGGCAAAAGGAGAGTGGGACTGTGGGCGGTGCTCGGGGTGGTGACTGAAGGCGGTGACTGTAGTTCTGACGTCAACTTTTTACGGAAGTCACAACGGTTCGTGAAAAATCACAGCTACTTTATGCAGGCTGTGTGCATTTGAATATGGACTGACTGTTTTGAAACTTGTATGGTAGTTAAATAGCCCCTAGACCTCAGTTATCATGAAAAAGCTAGGAAATTTCAGTTTTGAAATTATGGGACCTTTAAATGACTAAAATAGCCTATAGACAATAATGAGCAATAGCAATTCACCACACTGTATGATGCGATGACAAATTCAGGCAGCACAGCTTCACCTAATTAATTATTAATTTGATTAGTTATATCATTTATAATTTTAATAAGAGAACAACACCAATAAACATCGGGTAATAAAAAAAATGGTTTTATTCATTACATCATAGTAGAGGTCTACACGGGTCCAAAAATTCGTACCCGAACCCAAAGAGACCCGTAAATGTGCTACACCGAACCGACCCGGACCCGTCTATTATTTTGAAAGTTGGACCCGGGCCCGTGCAGAACCGAGAAATGTCAAAAATATTCTTGCCCGGAACCGACGCGGACCGTCAATTTGAAAGATGGACCCGAACCCGGCCGGGAAGACACTGACCCGACTGGACCCGATCGGCACATATTCCACAGCAAATTGCTATTAACAAGTCGACATTTTTTGTATCACGAGTCAATTTGCATAATAATTTAGACTGTTTGCCCATTTGGATTATAATAACGATTGCTCGTCCAGTGCCATGGCTGCTGACGTTAGCTTTACTTATTTGCTATCATCTCTGTGCTCTCTGAGCAAAAATTTTAGATATAACAACAAGACGGTTCATTCATAATATTATTTTAAAAATAATCAATAATAACTCATATCACTCATGAAGTCATCCATTATCACCGTGTGTGTGCATTAACTCCGCCCACCCTGCTTCTGATGATGTCGCTTGGGTTTTTTTATTATTTTTTTCCCCACCTTATTTCAAATTACCGACTCACACTTTTCTCATCCTAATTTTACAAGTTGAAAGTTACAAAACAACACACGCACAGCGCTGACTGACTGTGTGTTCTCCGAGTCCGATCGACTCGGGTATTACACACAATGTTAAACAGACCAGGGACCCGAAGCAATAGATTGGGACTGGACCCGGACCCGGCTGACCATTTAAAATATAGCCCCGAACCCGTACGGATCCCGGGTCGGGTCTCGGGTCCTCTGTGTAGACCTCTACATCATAGATCAGATATTTTTCTTTTTCAGGAAATGGGCAGACTAGAATAAATAGCAACACAGTAGCGAACAATAAACAATAGAAATGACAAAACAAAAATATAAATGTTCAAACTTTGGATTAATTATTTAGAGTCGGCTAAATCATCTAAATATGATATCTGGATCGCTGTCAGATGCTGAGCCCCAGGACGCATCACTTATCTCCCCACCATCAGACTCTCCATCACTCACGGCATTTAGTGCTTCTAATACCTCTTCAGCATTCATAAATCTCTTTTACTCATTGTGACTTTCTTTATGAAACTGATAACTGCTAATTCAGTGAGTGAAAGGCGTTGCCTAGCAATGTACAATGTTAAAACAAGCGGCGCGAAAACACAGGCATTATATAGGTGGGTAAATTTGACCCGCTGGCACTTATAGGTATAAATGCCCCATTTTTTGATCTGGTTTTATCTAAAGAATTTTTAACACCAGGGTATTGTAAATTACACAATTTTAGTAAAAGCCAATGACTGGGAGACTTGAATGTTTTATTGAAAGTCTGTTATGTACATTTGAAAAATTTACCCCGTGGCGGTTCTAGTGTTAAAGTGCATGTCTGTGGCGGCCTGATAAATTTTGATGTTTCACCATGGAAAAGGAAGTTGTTGTATTGCTATACAATGTCCGATCTGTCCCAAACTTCACATGTTTGATAAGAGTCCTGGCCTGAAGACATTTACATGCCAATATGCAGTTATAGTCGTTGTAACGAACTCCTCCTAGAGATTTAAAGGGTCATGAAACCCCCTGTTTCAGCACTGGTTAGTTCTCACCACAGTTTTAAAAAATGCTAAAAAAAAGTGGGCATGGTGCTCTGAGGGAAGAGGGGAGACAGACAACACACACGCAGAGCTTAGCGTTCTGACAGTTTAATTTCGCTCCCATCGAGTTAAAAATACAAATAAATGCACAGCCATTTGCACTCTGCATCGAAAACATATATATGAGCGTGCTGTTGCACCTCTGATAACCTTTTAGGCTTATTCTGCTGCGTTTATACAAGCCTTTTGACGGGTTGTGTCACGGAGCTGTAAAAACGGTTACACTCACTAAGTGAATGAATCGCGTTTGTGCCAAACTCTTATTACAAAGCAAAAACAAACACTCCTTCGATCCATGAACGTTTCTCTCAGTTAATGTACGCGGTCTCGCAGTCTGAAGCGTCTGTCATAACAAATCAACACATGCTGTTGTGAATAATTAAGCGAAGCATCTTCTAATATGATAAGAACACACAGTCTCATGAATAATTTAATAGACACTGACGCCTCATCGATGTACTATAGTCCTTTACCGCGTCACCAATTGTGACGTCAACACGATGTAGCTTTTAAACCCTGAAGATGAAAATAGCACAAAAAAGCTTAAAATTAGCCAGTTTTCTCTCACAATTAGAACTATCGAATGCTAACATTGTCTTCTATGATGTGCAACACAAACACCTCTGCTAAAATCTCAGAAAAAGTAGTCTGGGGTTTCATGACCCTTTAATGACATCAACATTATATTTGGTCAGTCTAATCTAAAGCCCTTTGCGATGTTAAATTGTGAAGATCTTGAGTTTTCGTTAAAGCAGTGGTCGCCAATCCGTCGATCGCGACTGGTAGATCTTTATCACTGTCCACTGGGGTTATATTAATGTATCACTGAAGGGAACTGTCTTGAGAAAAGTTTTGATGGCAATGGCATTTTCTTCTCCGTATAAAGCGCAGCGCTGCTTTGTTTACAGCGGTAAACAAGGAAATGCTATATAAGCAGTGTTTGAAAGAAGATGAGAAGTGCTTAAGGTTCATAAGCAGTGTTGCCAAGTCCGCGGTTTTCCCGCGGAATTGGGATAGTTTAACATTGTTGCCACGGGTTGTTGTTCATGTCCGTGGGTTGAAGCGACCCCAATAATGTGATATTTAGCCCCTGGAATATGAATTTTACTGGAAGATCCCCGCCGAAAAACGTGTATTTTACCCCCGGAATGCAATTTTTTTACAGGGGAATCCCCCTCGAAACGCCATTGGACAAGTTTTATTACAAAAACCTGACAACCCTGTTCATAGGCGCCACCTGCTGTCAGAGAGTGCGTCTCATTCAGACCTGCTGTTGTTTCGTGCAGATGTTTTATGTAGCAAATAAATAACTAACGCCTAATGTCAGACGATTCTGTTTTTGTTTTACATCCTGAAATTAATCTAAATCAAATCAAAAACAACTGCCCGTGCAGATCGTGATTAAAATGCAGTGGTTGCCTCTAATTTCAAATGGCTAGATATTTTTGTTTAAAGCCAGTTTGTTTGTTATAACGCAAATAGCCAATAAATAAATTTGCTTTAAAATCAGTATCAGAATCCAATTTGCAAGATAAAAAAAGAAATAAAGAAAAGAAAATCTGAATCAGCTATGATCGGCGCATCACTAATTAAAATACTAAGTAAAGGCCTCAAATTTGAAGTACAATCTGGGATGTCTTTTTCTATAAATTCTTCAATAGGTAGATCTTGTCTTTCATAAAGGCTGAGGTCAGGGATCTTGGGCCTAAAAAGGTTGGTGACCACTGTGTTAAAGGGTGTGTCTGTGGCGGTCTGACAAAGTTAGATGTTTCGCCATGGGAAAGGAAGTTGTTGTAACTCAGCCATACAATGTCCGATCTGATCCAAACTTCACATGTTTAATAAGAGTCCTGGCCTGAATACATTTAAAGGTCAATATTAAGTTATAATCATAGTACCACCTGCTGGCAACAGGAAATGACTTGTTTTACAGTAACTTAAACATGCAATGTCTGATCTGCACCAAATTTAACATGTTTGATAAAAGTCCTGGCCTGAAGTCATCTACATGCCAGAATTCAGTTAATAGTCATAGCGCCACCAGCTGGCAGCAGGAAATTTAGCGCATATAAATGACATTTATATGCGCTACATTTCCTGCTGCCAGCTGGTGGCGCTATGACTATTAACTGAATTCTGGCATGTAGATGTCTTCAGGAGGAATATATCAGTTATAGTCATAGCGCCACCAGCTGGCAGCAGGAAATTTAGCACATAAAAATTACTTTGATATATTCCTCCTGTATGTACCACTTTAAATGCATATTGCCCACCTTTCACTGTTTTCCTAAGGCCACCGGGTGGAGGTGGCTCTGGGTGCGAGGGCCCTTTCAATGCTGCTTGCAGCTTTAATGTTTATTACAATTGTTCATTAATTTTCTGTTATGTATCATTTATGTTTTCTGTGTTTGCAAATCTAGGGCTGAAAATCACAATTAAATTATAGAAGAACACTGGCTCTAAAATGAGTCACAATGAGGAGAGAGAGGAGGCGGATATTGTTCACTATCAGAACCAAAATGCAGCATCTCCAGAGCCCAGCTGCGTGTCTATAAAGAGTGACGTATCCATCAATCTGCCTCCTTATCTCAGTGATGGGCCAGTGACCATTGACCCCAGGTGAGACAATAACCATTGCTGGAGTCAAGAGATAAAATTTAAATATCATTGATAAAAAAAAAAGTTATTTATATTTTTCTCTTCCTTCTAGTGATATTGAGAAAAAGAGATCAGAATCTCCAGAGCCTAGCTGTGTTTCTATAAAGAGTGAGTTATCCATCAATCTGCCTCCTTATCTCAGTGATGGAGCAGTGACCTTTAACCCCAGGTGAGACAAAAAAAACAATGCTGGAGATGAGACACATCCTGCATCCCAATTCATCTATTTATACTATGCCTAAAAGTATGTTACTTAGTTGTGAAGAAAAAGTACACACTTTTGAGTGTGTAGCAGAAGAGTAACACGAGCTTTGGGACATACTATTACATCATACAATTGTATCTTAAGCGGATGATCTGTCGCATAGTTACGCTCATCCTGTCACTGTAAACTGGCCTGTTAATCATCTTGTCACAGTTAACATACTCCACATTTCATTTAAAGGTGCAGTAGGAGATCTTGAAAAATGCTAACTTTAGCCTGATAGCACTGAAAGCGAATGTCCCACAATCCCTGCAATCGCCGTCCAAAGCCACGTCCCTTGAATGGATTTACGCCCACAGACCAGAACACCAGCTTTGGTCAGTATTTAGTAGAAGCACCCTTTTGATCTAATACAGTCATGAGTCTTTTTGGGAAAGATGCAATAAGTTTTTCACACCTGGATTTGGGGATCCTCTGTCATTCCTCCTTGCAGATCCTCTCCAGTTCTGTCAGGTTGGATGGTAAACGTTGGTGGACAGCCATTTTTAGGTCTCTCCAGAGATGCTCAATTGGGTTTAAGTCAGGGCTCTGGCTGGGCCATTCAAGAACAGTCACAGAGTTGTTGTGAAGCCACTCCTTCGTTATTTTAGCTGTGTGCTTAGGGTCATTGTCTTGTTGGAAGGTAAACCTTTGGCCCAGTCTGAGGTCCTGAGCACTCTGGAGAAGGTTTTCGTTTAGGATATCCCTGTACTTGGCCGCATTCATCTTTCCCTTGATTGCAACCAGTCGTCCTGTCCCTGCAGCTGAAAAACACCCCCACAGCATGATGCTGCCACCACCATGCTTCACTGTTGGGACTGTATTGGACAGGTGATGAGCAGTGCCTGGTTTTCTCCACACATACTGCTTAGAATTAAGGCCAAAAAGTTCTATCTTGGTCTCATCCGACCAGAGAATCTTATTTCTCACCATCTTGGAGTCCTTCAGGTGTTTTTTCATGTGTCTTGCACTGAGGAGAGGCTTCCGTCGGGCCACTCTGCCATAAAGCCCCGACTGGTGGAGGGCTGCAGTGATGGTTGACTTTCTACAACTTTCTCCCATCTCCCGACTGCATCTCTGGAGCTCAGCCACAGTGATCTTTGGGTTCTTCTTTATCTCTCTCACCAAGGCTCTTCTCCCCCGATAGCTCAGTTTGGCCGGATGGCCAGCTCTAGGAAGGGTTCTGGTCGTCCTAAATGTCTTCCATTTAAGGATTATGGAGGCCACTGTGCTCTTAGGAACCTTAAGTGCAGCAGAATTTTTTTTGTAACCTTGGCCAGATCTGTGCCTTGCCACAATTCTGTCTCTGAGCTCTTCGGGCAGTTCCTTTGACCTCATGATTCTCTTTTGCTCTGACATGCACTGTGAGCTGTAAGGTCTTATATAGACAGGTGTGTGGCTTTGCTAATCAAGTCCAATCAGTATAATCACACACAGCTGGACTCAAATGAAGGTGTAGAACCATCTCCAGGATGATCAGAAGAAATGGACAGCACCTGCGTTAAATATATGAGTGTCACAGCAAAGGGTCTGAATACTTAGTACCATGTGATATTTCAGTTTTTCTTTTTTAATAAATCTGCAAAAATGTCAACAATTCTGTGTTTTTCTGTCAATATGGGGTGCTGTGTGTACATTAATGAGGAAAAAAATTAACTTAAAGGATTTTAGCAAATGGCTGCAATATAACAAAGAGTGAAAAATTTAAGGGGGTCTGAATACTTTCCGTACCCACTGTATATTCCTCCTGAAGACATCTATATGCCAGAATTCAAAGTCATTTATATGCGCTACATTTCCTGCTGCCAGCTGGTGGCGCTATGACTATTAACTGAATTCTGGCATGTAGATGTCTTCAGGAGGAATATATCAGTTATAGTCATAGCGCCACCAGCTGGCAGCAGGAAATTTAGCACATAAAAATTACTTTGATATATTCCTCCTGTATGTACCACTTTAAATGCATATTGCCCACCTTTCACTGTTTTCCTAAGGCCACCGGGTGGAGGTGGCTCTGGGTGCGAGGGCCCTTTCAATGCTGCTTGCAGCTTTAATGTTTATTACAATTGTTCATTAATTTTCTGTTATGTATCATTTATGTTTTCTGTGTTTGCAAATCTAGGGCTGAAAATCACAATTAAATTATAGAAGAACACTGGCTCTAAAATGAGTCACAATGAGGAGAGAGAGGAGGCGGATATTGTTCACTATCAGAACCAAAATGCAGCATCTCCAGAGCCCAGCTGCGTGTCTATAAAGAGTGACGTATCCATCAATCTGCCTCCTTATCTCAGTGATGGGCCAGTGACCATTGACCCCAGGTGAGACAATAACCATTGCTGGAGTCAAGAGATAAAATTTAAATATCATTGATAAAAAAAAAAGTTATTTATATTTTTCTCTTCCTTCTAGTGATATTGAGAAAAAGAGATCAGAATCTCCAGAGCCTAGCTGTGTTTCTATAAAGAGTGAGTTATCCATCAATCTGCCTCCTTATCTCAGTGATGGGCCAGTGACCATTGACCCCAGGTGAGACAATAACCATTGCTGGAGTCAAGAGATAAAATTTAAATATCATTGATAAAAAAAAAGTTATTTATATTTTTCTCTTCCTTCTAGTGATATTGAGAAAAAGAGATCAGAATCTCCAGAGCCTAGCTGTGTTTCTATAAAGAGTGACTTATCCATCAATCTGCCTCCTTATCTCAGTGATGGAGCAGTGACCTTTAACCCCAGGTGAGACAAAAAAAACAATGCTGGAGATGAGACACATCCTGCATCCCAATTCATCTATTTATACTATGCCTAAAAGTATGTTACTTAGTTGTGAAGAAAAAGTACACACTTTTGAGTGTGTAGCAGAAGAGTAACACGAGCTTTGGGACATACTATTACATCATACAACTGTATCTTAAGCGGATGATCTGTCGCATAGTTACGCTCATCCTGTCACTGTAAACTGGCCTGTTAATCATCTTGTCACAGTTAACATACTCCACATTTCATTTAAAGGTGCAGTAGGAGATCTTGAAAAATGCTAACTTTAGCCTGATAGCACTGAAAGCGAATGTCCCACAATCCCTGCAATCGCCGTCCAAAGCCACGTCCCTTGAATGGATTTACGCTCACAGACCAGAACACCAGAGACAACATTACAATAGGCTATATCAGCGGTTCCCAATTCCAATCCTCGCACCCTCCTGCTTTGCACATTTCATTTGTATCTCTTATCACGTGCGACGTTTGTTCTATTCGACCGTGAGTGCCCTGGCGAAGTGGGGTGTTACATTCAACACAACACTCTCATCTACACGTTACATTCAAAGGGCATTAAAGTGCGCAAGACGTGAATTTATATTGTATTTATTTACAGAGGTATATTATGTCACACTTCACACTTCTCTAGCAAGTTTCGTCTGTGTGTGAAGACGCTGCACAGCGCAAATTCGTCAATAAATGTTCCGAACGGATTTCCCCTGCGCGAGGACTGGAATTGGGAACCACTGGGCTACATCATGTGTCATTCACCGGTGAGAAAACTTTATAGTACAGTTAGTAAAAGTACTACAATTCCATGAAGGAAGATCGGCTTGTTGATGTTTGTCTGCCATTCTCGCTCTGTCTGCACAGCGTGCGTGAATGCGCTGATGACGTATTCTGTCTGCGCGAACTGTGTGCGCAGAGGTATGCAAATACATATGTTGACAGTAGGGCTGGGTAAAAAATATTGATATCTCGATATTAATTGATTCTCTTTTTTACGGAACGATATTGATTCTTAAATCCCATGAATCGATTAGTCTGGTAGTCTGTTTTCAGTTAATGGATGGAACATTGAAGGACACTTCCCATCCAATATATCGCAATAAGCATTGTGCTTTGGTGCTTTTAATATGAAACAAAGTCCCAGGTTTCAATTTATGTCTATTGTATTGCAGTATTCAAACAATAAATGCCGTTTTGGCGCTGTTTAATGTGGAGTGACAGATTGCTGTAGC